TTGGCATGTTTAAGATCTTGTACATGAATAACAGGTTCTATATTTGGAAAAATTGAACAATTCCAAGTTTTTTATTTTGAAAAGTTAATTGTTCATCTGTTAAATATAATTGGATTGCAAATTGAACTTTAAATTCAACAATGACACTATCTGATCTAATTGATAATATTGGAAGGTTTAAATTATAGTACTATTTGAGTTAATAATTTTTGATAAAAGCTGATTATAGTTGACACATTATCAGATCTGTTATTTGCAATTAATATAATGATTACCAGAGAAAAGTTTAGTAGCAGTATTTAATAATAATAATAAAATAGATTAGTGAACATAATTGATATAGTAATTAAGGGATTTAGTCATTTATATAAATAATTACCTACAAGATGTAAGTACGAACATCTTTCGCAATTGCTTTTTTTATTTTAATATTATTAATAATTGATTGAATTTCTTCATATTTATTAATTTTAGTTTGTTCAATTGATAGTATTGATCTGATGATACAGCCTAAAATAAGATTATAACGAAGAGCAGGTTTTAATTTGATATTGTCTGACATAACAACAATTAGTCTCTAATAATTCAATGTATCAATTAGCCTTTTAAATTTAGCAACATTCTCAAATGAAAGAACAGGATTTGTAAGTGTGTCTTTATTGTTAATTCAGGGTTTACTATTTTTTAATAAAAAAGATTATTTAAAAAAATATATAGAAAAATCAATTATTATTAATAAATAAATCAAATACTGTATATTTTGAATTGTGTGTCCTTTCAAATTTTGATGAAAAAGATCAAGGGCTTAAGTATTAAAACTTTTCAATATAATAAGAAAGTTTGTAAAATCTTCATTATATTGAATATTTTGCTTACTTTTATTATTATCTTTATGAACTGCAACTTGAATCATTATTTCACAAAATCTTGTAAATACAGGTTTTTCCTTAAATGCATCATTATTTATTTTATCTGCTAATACAACCCATATATTTATATCATAATTATTTTTAATAAAAGATCAAATTTCACGAAAATCCTGATTTTGCAAATACTTTTTTAAAGTATTATTCTCAAAATAGAATTTTGGTATAAATTAATGATGAGGGACGAAACCCCTTAATAACAGTCGAAACTTAGACGAAACTATATTAAAATCATAATAAGGGATATGATGAAATCCTTTCAATACGACGAAAGCTGAAACTGTCGAAACTATATTAAAAACATAGAAAAGGGTATGACGAAATTATTTTGAGAAGGTTTCGGCAGGCATCTATAGTATAAATTTAAGATTTTCAGATGCTGGTTTTAGTATAGTAAGACTATATATTAATATAGAATTATATTGTAATTTAAAACACTTGTCACAAATTATTTTTTCTAATTCAGAATATCCTATACATTCCTTAGTACATACAGCAATGCTTATTAATAATATTCAAAAAAGATTTTCATTAAAGATAAAAATATATACTGTATAACAAAAATAAATACTTACAATCTTTATCAATATGCCATTGAGATTCTACATAGATTTTCTGATTTAAAGCATATTTTTGAAATGGTCTAAGTTTTTTCTTATAAATTTATGAGAAAATTTCCTAGGATATGTTTCTTTAGCAATTATTTCAACATGATAAGCTTAATCATAACTTGCTGGTATTCTATCAATATATTTTGCAATCAAATCTGAATATAATCCTAAACATGACCTTCTTTTTCTACTTGTTTGATTAATTATTAGACTAATAATCTCTATATTAGCATTTCCTTTTCCATTAATTTCGTCCTCATTTTCATTTACTATAATAATATCATTATCATTCATTATATCTTTTACTTCACTTTCCAATCATTTTAATCATTATCTGAATTTACATTATTAACTTTTTTATCAGTTGTTATTGAGTTAAAAAAGTACAAAATACTTTTTTGTTCTTTCCGTTTATATCCTGAACCATTTGTGTGTTAGTTAATATAATTTTTGTCATATTTTCTATTAAGTTTTATTACAGCTTTATATATATAAATTACCTTTTTAGTACATACAACTTTAGTAACAAATGAGGTTTTTTTGTAACTATTCTTTTGAGTATTTCCAACTAACCATAATATGATAAAAATATAAAGATAAAATAACAATAGGAATAACAGATATGTGAAGATAATGATAAAAGATAGTAAATATGTATAGATAACAATCAGTAAAATATAAAGATGAAGATAATATTCACAAAGAAAAAAATTTTTTTTTATTATTTTAGTATATATATAATGTGACATTTGTCAAATTAAGTATCTGCTATGTAAACTTATCACTGAGTTTAGTTAAATTCATTCCTTGTTACACATCTATAAATCTAATTATTTTAAAATTAAACTTTAGGCTAAGCAAATAAAAATCTCACGTGTGATAAAATTTTTTATAATTGTTAAGTAAACTTAAATCTAACCTATACATAGATTGTTCAGGATTCTGTTATGACCAGTTTTAAATACCTATCTTTTGTGTTAAATATAAAGATAATCTAAGCCTCACTTTTCAGCTTTCGATGAGAAACAAGTTCTTGATAGTTCACTGATATCATAGCACAAACAATTAGAAGGTAAGAATATCTTTAGAAGCTTATTAATTATTACTATTATTTTAAAATATATCATACATTAAAAAATGATCAAAAAGACTTTAGAAGAACCTTTTAAAATAATTAATAATGGAAGTTATACTTTAGGCGAATCAAATTTTATCAAATTTATCACTTCAGATACTTTTGTTGATAAATTACTCTTTATAATGAAGTTTATAATTTATAGATAATAGGCCAATCTGATTACCTGTTCTCATCAGTTCAGAAAATCTACTAATTTTTCAATGCTTCACATCTTCTTTTTACCTATATCTAAAGATAAAGAGGAGAGAATTGTGTTATTTAAAGATCTAAAAGTTGCTCAATTTGAATGGTTTATGAATTTGAACTTTGAAAATTAGCCTGTAATTCTCATTAGCTTTAAAGTAAGTAAATCTGATGCAATCTACTTTTACATAATTAACCTAACTTACTTTTATTAAGAACTTAACAATAACTCCTAATAACTAATACTGAACTCAATAAAGTGAAGACTTTCAGATCTATATACAGAACATATACACATAGGACAAAAGTATCCGGATACTATACAAATTACTAAATTAATTGGGTAAATTTGGATATAAGTAAACTTTTTTTTTTATTAATAAATATAACTTTAGTTTCATAAGTAAAGTTATTCATCATAATATATCACGTGATATATAAAAATTTTAAAAAATTTAAGTAAAAATTGGTTGAACTATAATAATTTAAAATTTATTTTAAAATAATACATTTTTTAATAAAAACTTTATTTATAGTATAACATTAAAATGTTTGGTTTTAACATAATTTTTATTACTAAGTAACGTTTTTTGTTATTATTTAAAATATATAATTATAAATTTTTTTATAAAATTTAGTTAGATAGTTATGAAATAATATAAAAAAAACTGAAAAAATTTAAAGAAATTTTTAGTTATATTACAACATTATAATCTTTAGTAAAAACACATAAATTTTAACCATTCATTAGCTTATATTAATCTAAAAATAATACTAATATAGTATAGGATATCCCTTACTTTTTATTACAGCCTTAATTCTACAAGGCATACTTTCAACTAACTTTAATAATCTTTCAAGTTCAATTTGGTATCATTCTTCTTTAAGAGCAGCTAAAAGTTCTGACTTATTTTTTGGTTTAAGACTACGCATCCTGACTTTTCTTTCCAATACATCCCACAAATTCTCAATTGGATTGAGATCAGGGCTCTGTGCTGACTAAGGAAGTGATTGATGTAAATTTTCTTCTTTCCAACCCTTTGTGAATCGTACTACATGTGCTAGAGCATTATCATCTTGAAAAGTATGGCTATTAGATCCAAGTTCATTAAGAAAAGGTAAAAAATAACGTTTAAGTAATTCTACATACTTTTCAGCATTTAATTTTCCCTCAATTAGTACTAATGGTCCTACTTTAAAGTTGCAAAAACACCCTCAAACCATAACTCCTTCTGACTTTTGAACTGTTGGAATTAAATAATCTTTTGCATATGCCTCATGAACCCTACACCAAACCCATTAATTAGCGTCATTTCTAAATAATTCAAAACGAGATTCATCACTAAAAATTATAAAATTCCATTCATCTTGCAAACTTTTTCTAATATGACACTAAAGTAAACATTTTTTTTATTTACATTAGAAACTAAAGGTTTTTTCCTACCAGTACGCCTATAATAACCCATAGAATGCAGTGCTTACTTAACAGTTTTACTACTTAATGAAATATTAAGACCCTAGTTAAATTGTTCAGTAATTTCTTTCACGGCTTGTTTACGGTTTCGTCAGACTATTCTTCCTAGTTGACGTTTATCTTATTCTGATAAAGCTGGAAGTTTACTACTCCTAGATGCAGTATCAGTGCAGTTTTCTTTATTGTATTTCGTAATTATATCATGGACAGTAGATTTTAGTTTGCCAAGAATTTCTGAGATGCTTTTTATGCTATGTTCACCCTTTGATAAACCTACAATTTCTCCATGTTCAAAAGATGTAAGCTCGTGGGTTTTTGGCATCTTTATGTATTGAAATAATTATTTATAAAAAATTTTTTTTTATTTAAAAAAGCGAAGCCATGGGATTCTAGAAAAAAAAAGAATAACAAATTTGATTAGAAATTGGGCGTTCTATTGTTATTTAAAGATTGGTAATATACAGTTAAATTTGTGCTATATCACAATTATCCAGATACTTTTGTCCTGTGTGTATATATACCATTGCTAACATATCTTGGTGTCTTTATGCCATATCTCTTTCTCTATCTAAATATTATTATTGCAACTTTTTGATTAGTTGCAAATTACTATCAGCTTCTCTTTGTGAATGTCCGTGTTACAATTCCTGAAGCTTCAAGACATACTCCTATTTAATTTCCTCTAGTTTACGTTGGTGAGCCTCTTTAGACTGTTGTTTTGCACTCTCTTTTAATTTTAATTCATATTCTTCCTTTGCCTTTTTTTCTTTCTCTGCTTTTTTGCGATGAATCTCTTCTTGATCTTTTTGAGACTTTTCAAGTTGATTGGAAGTATATGCTTCTTGCATACTATTGATTAATGACTTAATCTCTCCTAATCTTAATTTATAATTAGGATCATCTAGTGAAATATAATCAGGGTTTGGAGAAATAGCCCAACGGTTGTCTATATTCTTAATAAAAGCACAAATAGGTTCATTTCAATCTCCTCTCATTTATTTTTATTATTAATCTGCATTTTAGTTGTATTAGAAAATACAGCAATGATATGATGAATTACTCCTTCACCAAGAAAGAGCCTTAGTCCATCCAAAATATTCTTTTGCTCAGCTGTAAACCGCTTTGCTTCTGTAAAATTCATCAAAGGTTAAAGTTCAAAGTCGAAAAATTCACAAAAGTTACATTTATAGTATATCATATATTAAGTTATTACATACTGAAAACAAACAGGATAGCCTTGACTCCATAAGCACATCTTTTGATGGCGTTGGCAATTTCTTAAAGTATATCATCTGTAAGTTGATGGGTATCAAATATTCTAGGTGTGTCGACAATGTTATATCTGACACAATCTATAGATAACACTGCTGTTCTACATTTTCTTATGACAGATTTCTACAGTTTTATTAAATTATTTTCTTACTGATGAATATTAAACCATGAAATTGAATATAAAGTGCAATTATTTACCATTCTCGATGAAACATGGAAAGGTCCTCTGTTATGTGGGTAACCAAAAAGCATATTACCCAAAGAACTTTTTCTTAAACCTAAAATTCCTTCCTTTAATAAATGGAAAAAAAAAATTGTCAAATAAAACAATAAAAGCACTTACCTGTTTTTCTTACTAGGAGGATAATGGGGTTGGGAGTATTCAAATTAAAATTTACGATATAATTCGAATTGTAATCATTCCCATCATCACATCTGGCATTATCAGAATCTTCAGCATTTAAATTAACACCTTCGGTATTATCAGAACTGTCAGCATTTAACTTAACACCTTCATTATTATCAGAACTGTTAGCATTCAACTTAACACCTTCAGTATTATCAGAACCCTTAGCATTCAAATTAATTTCTTAGGTAAAATAAGGACCGTCAGTTATTCTAGATATTAATGAGATCGAAAAAAGTATTAAAAAGAAATTTTATCGCTAATTAATATCAAAATCAATTATATATATTATTACTCAACTCAGCTAAATGCCTATAAATCATGTAAATCTTTTTGCTCATCTTGATAATGAAAAGTTTGTTTGTTTGAAATAAAATACAGACCTGACCTATTTATAAAAACTAAAAAAAAATGAGAAACTTGCAAAAGAAACATCTGATGACATTATCTTCTAATATCTCTTTCATTGATAACATTTAAATAAATCAAAGAATGTTAGTGTGTAAACGGTTTTCATATAAGTAAGCTAAGGGCAGTCTTAATGATATAATGATGTTAGTTAAGTTACGTCATAGATATATCAAGGACATATTTTTGAAATTATGATTTTAATTATTATAATTATTATAGATCGGCATGCTCGCTTTCCGTTTTACTAGTCTAGCTTATGCAAGTGGAGCTAGGTATGTGAGACATATATTCGTTTTGATACTTCTCTAGGAGCTTTGCATCATAGCTAGGTTGCTATCGCTTTGAGTATTTGTTATCTGACCTTTCATGATTCTCCTTGGCTATATGATAATAAAGCTCATATAATTCCTCTAGGCACACAGATCATTATCCATATATCTTTTGCAATAATTTTCTAGCCTTAGAGTGTATATCTCTTTTGTTAGGATATCTTGACTGCGACTGTCTTAATATAGTCATTCAGATTCTTTCAGCTTGCAATTTTTCTTTAGATAGTCTCTATAGTTTTTTGCAAGATTATCATATTTTTGCCCTTTCGTAATGAGTTTTTATGATTTTGACTTGCGCAAGTCCTATATTCTTATTATTAACCATTTTGTGTATTTCTACTATAGCAATAAAAAAAATTTAATTATAAAAATATATTCTTTAGTTACTAGTATTTTTCGACCTTAAAAAAAATATTTGTTATAAAGCATTCCTTCTTGATATGAAGTTTAGCTTTCTTCTGATTCCTTATATGCTACCAGGTGTTTATATAATCCAATTTACCAATGCCTATATGGGAAGATTTAAATTCCATCAAGCAAGATCCAATACTTGTTATCATACAGATTCAACCCTATTTTAATTATCCTTCTCCAGATATATTTGATGATCATTACTGTAGAGATCATACATATCATATTAGATTAGCTTTTTAGTTCTAAAAATTCATTATGTCAAAGCTCATTTTTGATCACTTATTTCTTTACATCTTTTACTTTCTAAATTCCATGCTTTTTCTGCTAATCCTTTACACCTAAAGATTTCTAAATTCTTCTTTCTCTAGTTTTTCTCATAATCTACTTTAGTTTCAGGAGTTTTTAAGTCATGCCTAGCAGAAAGAACTGAATACATTTTGGCTTTAAGCATACTAATTAGCCTATTAGATTCCTTTGTCACATCTTTCATTAAAAATAAATCTTCTGAATAGTCAAGATCAAAAATATCTAGTTTTTCTGCTCAATCTTTATAGAT